ACACATACACTAAAGAAATCAATACATCGAAACCAAAAATAGAGGAAAGCAATGCTTTTGTGAGGTTCCAATTGGAAAATCACGGTGTGTGGAAATCGACATGTGTTTTCCGATTTAGAGAGACACACGCTTACACACACACACACACACCTTGATTTCCTCCAAAGAACAAATACATACAGAGATCAGTATTAAAAAGAAAACAACCAAAAAAAAAAAAAGTATGTTTCCTTATCCCAAAGTAGCAGGAGTGACACAGCTAAAAACGCAGCTGATATGAACAACTCTGCGTGGAAAGCAAAACCCGCACTTACCTGTCCACCCGCAACTCTATTCCACAGAAGGCGCGAGAACCTTCCGCTGGCCACCCCCGGGTGGGTTTTGGGGGGACCCATGAGGCCAGAAAAAAAAAAAAAAGCCCCAACTCCTTCTAAGCGATTTCATTTTAGAATCGGACCCAATCAGGCTTTCTCAGCCAATATGGAAGGAACTGGAAATTTCACGGGCAGACTCCAATTGGGGGAGTCGGGGAAGAGTGGGGGGGCGCGGTGCCCAGGTTCTGCGAGGCTCTGTGGAACAGATTTTTGACATTGAGAGGATCACACTTCCTTTTACATTAAGTGTGAGCTTGCAGGATGGCTCAGCCCACAGTGCTCACTGCAGCTGGAATGAGAATTCAGAGCCTGGAGGAGGCTGGGATTTGGGGGTGCCTGCCTCTCTCTCCCCAGCTGGGGGGGGCGGGGGGAGGTTCCGAACAGTGCCGTACCAGTGTAGATGAGAGTGGGGACAGACACAGAGAGGTTCTGGGTGAGTCGGGAGCCGCAGGCAGTGTGAATTGGGCTGTTATGAGTCGAGCGGCATCCGTGGCTGTTTGCGGGGTGGGCGAGCGGAGACCTGAGAGATTTGTGGTCACAGCGGAAGAAAAGAGAACACAGCACATACAACAGATCGCACGGTTAGCTTAAAATACTTGTAAAGGAGTTTGCAGGCAAAGGAGAGAACTTAGTACATATATATATATGTATATATGTGCACATATTCATATATTTTTTGCAAACCCTAGCATGCAAAGAAAAAAAAGTTCAAATGCAAAGAACAGGTACATAGCTGGGTGCCGGTGGCTCCCGCCTGTCATCCCAGCTCCTCAGGAGGCTGAGAGCTGAGGTTCAAAGCCAGCCCCTAGCAAGAAAAATCTGTGACACTCTGTATCTTCACTGTATCTTCAATAACTGAAACTCAATTGGTACAACACTAGCCTTGAGCCAAAAAGCAAGCTCAGGGAGACAGCTCAGGCCCTGGGTTCCAGCCCCATGACCAGCACACACACACAAAAAATTCATTAGCTGGGGCTGGGCAGGTAGCTCAGTGGTAGAGCGCTCGCCTTGCATGCCTGAGGCCCTGGGTTCGATTCCTCAGCACCCCATAAGCAGAAAAAGCCAGAAGTGGTGCTGTGGCTCAAGTGGTAGAGCGCCAGCCTTGAGCAAAAGAAGCTCAGGGACAGCGCCCAGGCCCTGAGTTCAAGCCCAGGACTGGCCAAAAAGAAAAGACAATCCTAACGAAGCAATGCAACCACCTCCCTGTGCAGCTGTTTCCCATTTGGAGGAAGGATCTGTGCAAACCTAGAGGAGAAAGCACGCCCCCTCCCCTCAGCCCGGCCCCGGCTCACAGCAATGGCTCTCTTTCTGATTGCACAGGCATTTCCTTATCTCATTCCAGTATGTTCTAAGACACTGCAACATTGAGTACCAATATCTTTCAGGTGCCTTATCTCCCGAAGCCAAGCCTGTCCACACCCTGAAGATAAATTCCTAGGGTGCCAAGTGTGCGTGGGGGGGGGGGGCCCAGCAGGGAGGCTCTGCCAGGGAGGCCCAGCGGGGGGGGGGGGAAGGGGGAGGGAACGGAACCCAGGGCTTTTGTTTGGTTATACTTGTTTCTTTTTGTGACAGAAGCTCAGTAGGTATCCCAGGCTGGCCTTGAACTCAAGATCTTTCTCTGCCTCAGCCTCTCCAGCACTGGGATTATAGGTGGGCACTACCACACTTGGTTGCAAGACTCAAGGTTCTAATTCAATTTCAATGGATAGGAGACATAATCTGGATTCCTCAAAAAAAAAAATTAATAGGGCAATCTGACTCCATCTGTACTAGCTAGAAATTTGTGTTTCCCAGAATGTACTTGAACTCAGGCTTTTGGTGTTTTTGGTTTTTTTTTTTGTCGGTCATGGGGCTTGAACTCTGGGCCAGGGCGCTGTCCCTCGGCTCTTCAGCTCAAGGCAAGTGCTCTACCACGTGAGCCACAACCCCACTTCCCATTTTTTGCTGGTTAACGATGACAGGAGCTCACACTTTCCTACCTGGGCTGGTACTGAAGCATGATCCTCAGATCTCAGCCTACTGAACAGCTGGGATAATAGACATGAGCCGCTATACCTGGCCAACCTCATTATTAAACCAGACAATAAAGCCTGTCTTAAATAATCCATGTTGAGGGGTGCTGTCTTCAAAGCGTGAGGCCCCCGTGTTTCAGACTCCTGAGATTTTTTTTGCCATTTGGAGTATTTGCAAAGCTCTACCACTGAAGGTTTCTAACCTTAAAAACCTAACAATCCACCCAAGGGGCTGGGCAGGTGGCTCAGTGCTCGCCTAGCATGCATGAAGCCCTGGGTTCGATTCCTCAGTAGTACACACACAGAGGGAAAGCTGGAAGTGGTGCTGTGGCTCAAGTATCTTGAGCAAAGCAAAGAAAACTCAGGGCCAGGGCTCTGAGTTCAAGCCCCAAGACTGGCAGATAATAATAATGATGATAATACATTAATAAATAAAATAAAAATCCACCCGAGTGTGCAGGCTGTGGGGGTGGCCTGAGCCTGGAAGGTGGACTCTCTGCCTTCAGACAGACGTGTGCTAAGCCAGGCAGTTCCGGATGAGGAGGAGGTCTGGGCCGGCCTGAGAGACAAAGACAGACCCCCATCTCCAAAAAAGGAAACAGAGACAGACAGGGGTGAACAGTTCAAAGCTAGCCCGGGCGGGAAAATCCGCGAGACTCTCATCTCCAAGGAACCACCAGAAAACCAGAAGTGGCGCCGTGGCTCAAGTGGTAGAGCGCCAGCCTTGAGCAAAAAATGTGCAGGGACAGCGTCCAGGCCCTGAGTTCAAGTCCCAAGACTGACCAAAAAAAAAAAGACATAGGGAGGGAGGAGAAAAGAGGGGAAGGGAGGGGGGAGGAACAGGGGAGGGGAGGAGGTGGAAGGGTAGGGGAGAGGGCGAGATGGAAGGAGGGGAAATTGGGGGGGAGGATGTGGGAGGGGAGGAGGAGAGGAGGGGGAGGAGAGAAGAGGAGGGGATGGGAGGGGGAGGCATAAGGGAGGGGAGGAGAGGAAGGGAAGGGAAGAGGTAGGAGAGGGAGGGAGGAGGGGAGGGCTGGGGAGGGGAGGAGGAGGGGAGGCCAGGCCTACTTGGCTGACACCCACTCATCTCATTTCATTCTCCTGGCCCGCCTGGCCTTGGTGGGTCTCTACGCCTTGAGTGGTCCGACTCTCACACGCAGGGTTCGAAGCCACCCCTAAACACCTAACGTCTCATGGCTTTCATGGTACGCCATTTTCTACCAGTCCAACGGGTCGATCTACCTATCCACCGATGAGCTTGGCCAGGGATGTCTGATCAGAAAAAGCATGGGGTGGGGGGGGAGGGTACACAAAGAATTGCTGCACATCGCTCCGAACTGTGACCCGTGGCGCGCGCACCCGCCTGGGGAGCAGACCCCGGCGCCATACTTACTCCTTCATCTCTTTGGAGGGGGAGTGGCACGTCGGGAGGAAGGTGGCTGGGTTCGTTAAGGTGTCCAGCGTGCACGCCGTGCCGATGGCTCGGACCACGAGCCCCGACTCGCCCTCCAGATCAAAACACTGCAAGTACCCGACCACCGCGTTCCCGCGCATCTCCAGGACTTTCAGGCCAATCTTCCTCTGCAGCTCACCTACAAAACAAGCCCACACGTCCCGCCTGCTCACACAACCCGGCGCTCAAATCCCGACAACCTGGGTGCCGGTGGCGGGCGCCTGTCAGCCCAGCCGCTCAGGAGGCTGAGATCTGAGGACCGGGGGTTGAGGCCCGGCCCGCGCAGGGAAGTCTGTGAGACTCTGGATCTCCAGTGAAGCAGCAAAAAGTCAGAAGCAGAGCTGTGGCTCAAGGGGTAGAGCACCAGCCTTGGGCACAAAAGAGCTCAGGGACAGCGCCCAGGGTCAGAGTGCTAGGAGAGACGGTATTTGGACAAGGACGGTGCAAGGGTAACAGTTGAAGACGGCAGGATTACAGCGGGAGGGGTTCAAGCCTCAGCTCTAACACCAGAACCTACCGGCGCCTCCTCATCACCAGCGCTGTATTCTTTCCACTAAGCCACTCTCTGAACACAATTTCTTTTTTCTTTTGTGCCAGTCCTGGGACTTGAACTCACAGCCTGGCTGCTGACCCTGAGCTTTTGGGCTCCAGGTGAGTGCTCTACCACTTGAGCCACAGCTCCACTTCCAACTTTCTATTCCTCATGGGAGATCAGAGTCTCACAGACCTTCCTGCCCTGGTGGGGCTTTGAATCACGATCCTCAGGTCTCAGCCTCCTGAGTAGCTAGGATGACAGGAGTGAGCACCAGCGCCCGGTTCAAAATTTCATTTCGCTACTGAGCCAGCAACTACTGGCTTCTGAGTCACATTTCTACGTTTCAAAACACGCAGCTGAAAATGGGCCAGGGGTAGGAATCAGTCACTTAAAATTCATAACCAGGGCTGGGCATGTGGGTTAGTGGTAGAGCGCTTGCCTAGCATGCATGGAGCCCTGGGTTCGATTCCTCAGTACCACATTCACAGAAAAAGCCAGAAGTGGTGCTGTGGCTCAAGAGGTAGAGCACCAGCCTTGAGCCAAAGAAGCTCAGGGACAGCGCCCAGGCCCTGAGTTCAAGTCCCAGGACTAGCAAAAACAACAACAACAACTTCATAACCAGCTTCGACAACATTTCAAGTAGCACTTCACAAACAAGTCAAAGACACTGGAGAATGACGTCAATCAACACCGACGCCGCTTTGTATAAATACCTGACATTAAGGAGATGAGTCTCTGTCTGGCCTCATTGGATGCCCTGGGTGTGCGGATTCGATCGATCCACTGATACTCTGGGTCTTCATTGACCACAAGTTCTTCCACAAACCCATGAATGACCACAGCTCTGTAACACTTGGGGATGGATGTTGCTGTTAAAACAAATCATCTATTATGTGTCCATTTTTTTTTAAACTATGTGTATTTAAGCTGGGTGCTGGTGATTATATCTTAGCTACTCAGGAGACTAAGACCTAGAAGAGCATGGTAATAAGCCAGTCTGGGCCAGGCACCGGTGGCTCCCGCCTGTCATCCCAGCTACTCAGGAGGCTAAGATCTGAGGATCATGGTTCAAAGCCAATCTGAGCAGGAAAGTCCATGAGACTCTCATCTCCGACAAACCACCAGAAAACGGGAAGTGGAGCTGTGGCTCAAGGTGGTAGAGTAGTAGCCTTGAGCAAAAGAGCTCCGAGACAGTGCCCAGGACCTGAGTTCAAGCCCCAGGACTGACACACCTAAAAAAAAATTTAATTAAATAATAAGTATTACTTTTTTCCCTTGGCCTCAAAACCGAAGTGTAATACTATTTTTCTATTAGTCTTTGGGAACAGAAATTTGATGTTGTGTATCTCAAAAGGATTACACATTTCTTCTTGAGTAAGACAATGCATTTACTTACTGCAGAAGAATTTCACCCCACACGAGGACTGTCTAAATCGATTTAAATCATTGAAAAGGTCTACTTTGACGACGACATTGATTTCTCCACGGATACCTAAAGATTCAAAAGGAAAAGAAAATAATGTGCAATTAAATAAGGAAGCGAATGGATGGTAACAGACGCTGTCTCAATAACCTAACAATCTTAGCACAACACCATCTTTGCTTCCTTTTTTTTTTTTAAGTCAGTCCTGGGTCTTGAACTCAGGGCCTGGGCGCTGTCCCTGAGCTTCTTTTGCTCACGGCTGGTGCTCTGCCAGTTGAGCCACAGCTCCACTTCTGGTTCATTGGAAGATAAGAGTCTCATGGACTTTGCTGCCCAGGCTGGTTTTAAACTATGATTCTCAGATCTCAGATTCTTGAGTAGCTGGGATGACAGGTGTGAGCCACCAGCACTGGGCTTAATTATTTTCATACAATGGTTTACTGTTAACATTTTCTGAAGCACAACATGAGTATTTTTCACTATGGCCACAGGTGTGCAATAATGTAAGCCAAGACGAAGTAGAAAGGCATCCAATTCACTGATGGGAATGAGGACAATGTACTCACTACACGTGACATCAATCCAGGAAGTTAACTTCTCTAACAGTGAGCGATATCTCCGTATTACGGAAGAAATTAAAACTGGAAGCCAGTGGCTCACACCTGTCATCCTAGCTACTCAGGAGGCTGAGATCTGAGGATCAGGGTTCAAAGCCAGCCTGGGCAGGAAATCTGTAAGACTTGTCTTCATTTAACACAAAGAAGCTAGAAGTGGAGCTCTGGCTCAAGTGGCTGAGCACTAACTAGACTTCCAGCAAACAGGCTCAAGGATAGCACCTAGGCCTTGAGTTCGAACCCTAGGACCAGCACACATATACACATACAAAAGATTCAGAACCTCAACAACTTTTCTTTACAAAGGCCACATCTATCAATATTTACCACGTAACAACTGAAATTGGCAGTTTAAAAGCATTATTCCTGTAAAGTCACAGTAAGTTGCTGGCAACTCTGTGCTTTCCAAACAAACAAAAGAATTCATTTGATATGACTGGCTCTTCTTTTTTTTTTTGGTCGGTCATAAGGCCTGAACTCTGGGCCTGGGCGCTGTCCCTCAGCTCTTCAGCTCAAGGGGAGCACTCTACCACTTGAGCCACAGCACCACTTCTGCCTTTTTCTGCTTATGTGGTGCTAAGGAGTCGAACCCAGGGCCTCATGCATGCAAGGCAAGCGCTCTACCACTGAGCCACCTTCCCAGCCTGTCCTGAGCAAATTCTTTTGCTCAAGGCTAGCGCTCTACCACTTGAGCCACAGTGCCATTTCTGGCTTTTTCTGTATCTGTGGTACTGAGGCATGGAACCCAGGGCTCATGCATGCTAGGTGAGCGCTCTACCACTGAGCCACCTGCCCAGCCCTCTTTTCGTGGTTTTTTTTTTTTTTTTTTTTTAGTGCTGGTACTGGGGCTTGAGCTCAGGCCACAATCTGTCCCTGAACTTTTCAAGTCTGATGACCTACCACTGGAGCTCAGTCTCTACTTCTGGCTAGTCCGTGGTGTAGTGGAGATCAGAGTCTCATGGACTTTCCTGCCTACCGTGAATGGTATCGTAGATGGGGAACCAGCCCGAGATGACGGTGGCGGCCTCGCTGTACAGCAGAGGGTCGATGTCGATGTACACCTTGCCGATGGCGTCGTTCGCGCTGTAGGTGTCGTGGTCCAGCACGGTGATCTGCAGCGGCTCGTCCTGCAGATCCTCATCGTCCACCTGCAAGCACGCAGCCCTCCATGGGGGCCTTGCTTTGGCTGCTTTCGTTTTTCTACGTGTGGTGTGAACTATCTTTAAGTAGTTGTCCAAAGGAGCTACCATCGCACAAAGTGGATTACGAATCCAATAAACCGTGGTTGACAGTCTGGGCTTCTGTTTTGTTGGTTTTCTGCCAGCTCCTGGGGCCTGAACTCAGAGCCGGGACTGGGGGGCTGTCCCCTGAGTTTTTTCACCCGGGGCTGGTGCTCTACCACCTGGGCCACAGCTCCACGTCCAGCTTCTGTTTTTGGCCAGTCAGTCCGGGGCGGGCTCTCTCCTGCTCGACCCTCTATGGAGGGTCCCCGTCCGACCACCCCTGGCCCCGGGAGAGGGGTGGCGCCCAGAAACGGCTCACCTCTGCACACCGCACACCTACCTCGAACTTAAACCACTCCGAGTTCCAGTGGGGGTTCAGCGACTTGAGGTACACGTCCGTCTTAAAGGTAGTGTTGCCGAACTTCACCTGAGGACGAGCAGACGGGGTGGGGCTGGAGGTGCAGCCACGGGAGGAGGGCGGGCTGGGGGGGGGGAGGAGAGGGGAAGGGAGGGCCTCCCCTGGTGGGGAAGGACACGATCGCCTGCTGACACCCTCCACCGGGTGTCTCCAACACAGGGAGAACACCGTACACCCAGGATGCTGCTCGGCGATGTTATTACGGTGCCCAGGAGCGCTCGGCGGTCAGCGCTGGACTGCGCATGCCCAGGAGCACTCAGTGGTCAGCGCTGGACTGCGCATGCCCAGGAGGACTTGGTGGTCAGCGCTGGACTGCGCATGCTCAGGATGCTGTGACCCTCTTCCCATCCTCCTGGCCTAGTCCAAATGTATCCCAGGGAGCCAGGCCTGGCCACACACACCTGTAGTCCCAGCCCCGGGGTGGCCAAGGCTAGCTAGCTCCCACCGAGCCCAGAGCGGGCCAGCCTGGCAGCCCCTAACTAGCCTGGGCTTCATTCTCCTGCTTTAGAGTCCAGGCTGCCCAATGCATCCGTGTTAGGCGTACCCCTCCATCGCTCCCCCATTCCTGGGTGGCTGGCCGGCCTGCGAGCACACAGGCGAGCTCGTGTCCGGGAGGGGCCGGGGCTTAGCACAGGGCCTCTCACACTTGCTTAGGTATTTTTTGCCCACAGCTGGTGCTTCACCACTGGAGCCACGGCCCTCCTTCCGGCTTGTTCCGGGTTAAGTGGATGGAAGAGACTTGCTGCTCTGTCTGCACACCTGTCACCCGAGCTATCAGGAGGCTGAGATCTGAGGATCATGGTGCTAAATCAGCCCGGGGAATGAGTCTGTGAGACTCCTGTATCCAATGAGCCACCAAAAAGCCAGAAATGGGGCTGTGGCTCAAGTGGTAAAACACCAGTCCTTGAGCAAAAAAAAAAAAAGCTCAGATACAGCACCCAGACCTTGAGGACTGGTAATGAGGAGGAGGAGGAGGAGGAGAGTGATGGTGACAATGATGGTGATGATGGTGATGATGATGATGGTGGTGATGATGATGATGATGATGGTGATGATGATGATGATGGTGGTGGTGATGATGAACGATGGTGATGGTGATGAACGGTGATGATGATGATGATGGTGATGATGATAATGGTGGTGATGATGGTGATGATGATGATGATGATGATGATGGTGGTGATGATGGTGATGATGATGATGATGATGATGATGGTGATGATGATGATGATGGTGATGATGATGGTGATGATGGTGATGATGATGATGATGATGATGATGATGATGATGGTGATGATGGTGATGATGATAATGGTGGTGATGATGATAATGGTGGTGATGGTGATGATGATGATGATGGTGATGATGACGGTGATGGTGATGATGGTGATGATAATGGTGATGATAATGGTGGTGGTGATGATGATGGTGATGATGATGATGGTGATGATGATGGTGATGATGATGATGGTGATGGTGATCAGTGATGATGGTGATGGTGATGATGGTGATGATGTTGATGATGGTGATGATGATGATGATGATGATGATGATGATAATGGTGGCGATGATGAGGATGGTGGTGATAATGTAAAACTCCAGTCCTAATTCCAACTGCCTCCTTGGTCCCAAAGACATTCGCAGCATAATATGCCCAAGTGAAAACGGATTCCGCACTAGCCAAATCTCCACCAGCCCTGTGGATTTCAGAAAGCCAGCCGACTTCTAACAGCCAGGAACGGCCGCTCGGGCGCCTTTCACCTTGATCGCCAACTCCCATCTTTCAGAACAAATCCTCTTTCAAAAATAGATCTGGAATTCATCCACCACTTTCCATTACCCCAAAGCATCACACTTCGCCGTGGCCATCTGCTGTCTGACCCCGGGCAGCATCTCCTCACAGCCTTCCCTTCAGTTGGCCACATGGCACCAAAAGACCTTAGTTAATAAGTGCCAGGGAATGTAAAATAAACACCAACTTTTCATTGTGGCAGAAGGAGGAGGAGGAGGAGGAGGAGGAGGAGGCGGCGGCTAGTATTTGATCTCAGTCTACCTTTCCAGTGTCAGCCTGCACCAACTGTACTATCTGGCTAGCTCCCTTGATACTTCCGGTTCATGTCACGGAAAGATGGTCACTGGGATGAATCCATGACTTGCCCCGTCTGTGTTTTGGCCTTTTTGTTCATTTGACAGTACCGGGGTTTGAACACAAGACCTCTCACAGGCTGGGCTGGCAAATCTACCACTCGAGCCCGGACTCCAAGCCCTGAATGTTTCTGGTTAATTTCTCTCTCTGTCTTCTTGCCAGTTTGGGGGCTTGGACGCTGAGCCTGGGCGCGGCCCCTGAGCCTCTTTGTGCTCAAAGGCTGGCACTTTAAAACTTGACCCAGAGCACCGCTTCTAGTTGGTGGGTTTTTTTCTTTTTAAGAGATCAGAGTCTCACAGACTTCCCTGCCCAGGCTGGCTTCGAACCATGATCCTCAGATCTCAGCCTCCTGAGTAGCCGGGATGACAGGCGGGGGCCAGTGGCTTTTCTGGTTTTCGCTGCTTGTGTGGTCAGTGGGGCCTGGTTGCAGGAATGACTGGCACTCATGCTGCTGGATTCCAGTTTCCCCTCCATGGTGCCGGAATCGGAAGGCCTCTGCGGCCCCGAGCTGGGTTCTATCTTCATCCACCCAGTCTCAGACTTGCACACAGAAGGGCAGTTACACACCCCTGTCCGACCGCTCTCCATCCAGGAGCCTCACCAAGGGTTCGGCCGTGGCTGGCCTTGAGCCTCCGATCCTCCTACCCCTCGGCCTCCCCACCAGCCAGGATTGCAAGTGTAGACCACAGACGTGTGGTTCTCCGTCTGTGTGGTGTTGTTCTTGTTGTTGTTCACAGACACGTGGTTCCCTGTTTGTGTGTGTGTGGTGCTGGTGGTATTCACAGATGCGTGGTTCTCTGTGTGTGTGTGTGTGTGTGGTGGTGGTATTGTTCACAGATGCGTGGTTCCCCCTCTGTGTGTGTGTGTTGTTGTTGTTGTTCACAGACGCACGGTTCCCTGTCTGTGTGTGTTGCTGTTGTTGTTGTCTGAGCCTCAGCTTGCTGCTAGGCTGACCTCCACCGCTTGGACACATGATTCTCACCAGCTTTCTGGCCTGTTTTGGAGATTCTCCTCCCTATCCCCCCCCCCACCCCCAGCC